ATTGTGTCTGCATTCTCCAGCCCACTCGGGAAACACTCTTGGCTCTTGGTAGACACTGAAACTGGCCATTCCATTGCACACTACACTTCTTCCCTTTTCTTGCCTCTATAAAACTTTGTAAAGCTGGGGAACCAGCATTGGACCGAAATAAGCCCTCTGAATGTGGGTACCCATTAGGAGGCCTGGGCAATCTATGGGACGACTAACAGTGGAGCCAGTATTTATGCCTAATGCACAAATGGACTTTGGGAGCCCATTCCCTGTGAAGGGATACTATTTCAGCCCAGATACACGAGGAAGGCCTAGGCCCTCCCAAAAATGATGTGACAGACTTTGATGATCCTCCTTGGGAAGTGGGTGGGGGAGGGCTGAGGGATCAGTGGGGGGGTATGGGAGGGTGGGAGGGAGAGGGAATGGGGGCATCGATATGTAAAATAAGATTGTTTCTAAATAAAAAGGTTATAAAAAAATTTCCATTTCCTAAGCTCCTTTGCAGTCAAGGGAGGCCATGTACATAGTCTGGCAGAAGAGAAATACCTGTGGGCCTGTGGGAGTGTCTGCTCTCTTCTCAAACTTCCCACACTTGAGAAAGGGGCCTAGGGGGTGACACACAGATATAGCCAGCAGCAGGACTGACTGAAGCCCATTCCTCATGACTGGAATCTCCACCTCAGTATTTCCTGCCATTGGAAGAAGTCTCTCCCATTCTCTCTTTTGATGAAATTTCCCATGTGTGGTGTTTCTTGTTATATGCAACTAAATGTAATCCTGACGCAGGAAGCTAGCACATGCTTGACATCATTCTCTCTTCAGTTGATATCCATAATTAGGACCACAGCGACAGATTTCAATTCATTGACTAATTATTAATTATAAATATGACAGCAGTATTGGTCATTTTCAGATGTCTCCTGGGGGCTAAGTGATCCTGGGCCCCTCTCAGTGGTTATTATTGTTTTCATTGCCCATTGAGGAATTAGGCTCAGAGATGTCATATGAGCTACTCAGCATCGCCAGAGTCACACAGCTACACTGGAAGCTGGGCTCTGAACCCAAGTGGTTCACAGTAATCTATCCGTCTGTCCATCCATACATCCATCCATCCATCCATCCATCCATCCATCTATCTATCTATCTGTCACAGGCTACTGAACCTCCATGATCCCACGAGCTGATGTCTGATTATCTGTAGATTACTCAGAGGGTAGGAGCATGGTGGAGAGGACTCTGGTAAAAGGACCATTGGGCCATCCTGTGCTAATCTGGTGGTGAGATCTGTGTGACAGGGGACCCTGCAGTGGAAACTCCAGATGAGCAGGGAACCTACATACTAGCTGTCTGACTGCTTATCTTCTGGGCTAATCCTTGGCAGGATTTGGGTGTTTAGTTTAAAGACTCAGGGATGGAATCCAGGAGAAGCTGAAAGAATGTGGCAGGTGTTAAACCTGTAAGTTGAAGTCAAACAGCCCAGGCTCCAATATCAGCCCCATCATTTAGAGTATGCAGCTGTTATCAGGTCAGCCATTTTCCTGTTTATAGAACTCGGAAGAAGAAGAAAGTCCCCTCACGAGGGCTGTTGTGAGTGACAAGCCCCTAGCATCCTGCCTGTGGCTTACAAATGCTCTGGCAAGGGCTGTCATTCCCCCTCTCCCTCCTCACCTCACACAGACTGCAATCCTCGGGCCTCTGCTTCTCCTTCTGCATTATCTCCTTCCTCTTAGGGATGCTTTGAAGATTTAAGCAAGAAGGACACACAACAAGATTTTGTGGCTTTCAGTCCTTGACTTCTCAGGTGGGCTGGTTTGTGTAACTTAACTGGAGCCTAGCTACCCACCATCCTAAAGGGTTCTGTTTCCTTAGTGCAACCTTGAGCAAACCACTATAGTCCTGGGCCTCAACTTTCTTTCTCTGTAGATGGAGATGATGACAATATTGGCATCACAGGGCTACTGGGAGAACATATATATTCACACACACACACACACACACAAACACACACACACGCACACATATATATATACATAGTACATAATACAACATGTTATAACAATAATATGAGATACTATTGTTATTTTCATTATCTCCAGCACTTAATGGAAACCTGGCACTGAGCAGGTACAGGGGAGGGGGAAGAGAACTTTCCACGGAGCCAACCCTGCTTAGGTAGGGAAGGAAAAGAAGGGACAGTGGAGAATTAATGCTGAGCTCCTGGTAAAGGCTGGATTCCCACATGGACTGGCTCTTCTTGTCCCCAGAGTAGCTGTTTCCGAAATGGAATCAGTAAAACCATTTTTCATATGGGGAAACTGAGGCCCACAAAAGGCTGTTGAAGGTTTAAGGTGGTGAAAGTGGAGACTGGGGTTTGGGACTGAGGTTTCAAGAGATCCGAGGCAGACTGGAGGAGAACTTGCTCTTCTGTGAACCTGCCTGCGAGGTGGGGTGGGGCTGGGCTGGGCTCATGAATGATTCAGGTGAAAGTCAGCTTGGGATTTCCAAATGCTGGGTGGGGCCCAGCTAGGTGAGACCTCCCTAGTAACATGTAGATGTGGGCCCTAGGTAGGCAGGAGGGCATGTGACTGGTATGGGGCAGGGGGTGGGACACTCAGACAAAAACTTGTCACTGGGTAGGGAAGCGGGTTCTTGTTGCCTTGGCTTGGAAGAGTTCAGGCTCTGTGGTGGAGCTAAACCCATGGTACTGTCAGGAGTTGACCAGGGGCCTCAGTGGGAAACTGAGGCAGGCAATAACCCTTTTGGGGGTTGCCTGAGCAGATGGATGGGCAGACACTTGATGAACATGGCTCTGGTCCCCCTCAGGCACTTGAAATTTTTCTGTATGATTATTTTATTTTATGTTGCATGATCATTACACACACACACACACACACACACACACACACACACACACTCCACAGGTGTGACTGGTGTCCACAGAGGACAGAGGAATGTGTCAGTTCTTTCCTGCAGGAAAGAATGAAAGGTGGCATGTCACATGACCTGGAGCAGAAGAGATCAATGTCCTGAATGTTCACATTCAGGACATTGGCTCTGGAGCAGAGGGCAAGGAAAGGTGATCCTGGGTTGTGTCCCTTCTAGTAGAACAAGGATGAGGGTTAGCCTGGATGTCCTCCCAACCTGGGTGTTCATCTGCATATTCCTTTGAAGTGGACCAAACCCAAATTCTACTGGTTCCAGCTGACTGCCCATCCCTGAGGGTTATCTCTGACAGAATCTAAATGGTCTCCATACCTCTCTACCCCACACTCTGGTGTTAACTGGTAAGGGCTGGCACTCAGCCACCATTGCTCTTGTCTCCATCGTTTTTGCTTGGCTTGGAGGCCCCAGCTGGTCTCTTGGCCTATGGCTTCTCCTCTGCATCCATCCTTCATTGGTTCCTTACGCCCATTGTGTCGTTCCTTCACTGCATCCATCTTCAAACTGCATGATTGGTGGTAGAGCATCGTTACAGCAAGGGCTCATTTGCTGTTCACTGGTGAGGGACCTGTCCTCACTAACCCCCTGATCTGATTACTCTGGTGTTGAAATGGGAAGCAGGCCTTAGAGACCTGTCTATGGTCATAGCAAAGAAGGGAGACTTAATTTCTTGATTTCCAGGCTAAGTCTCTTCCCTCTGATGCCAAGGTTGAGCTAGTTAGTGTTTGTTGTTTTCACTATAGTAGATAGAGTTCTGAGAGTAAGCTACAGGTGTGGTAACTCCCTTGGTCCAGGCCCAGGGTGAGGGCGGGCCTGGGAATAGAGGACAGGGGTTCATAAGAACTCTTCTTTCATTTCTTGATCACCAAAAGGCTCCTTTTCCTCTGGGCAATGGAACCTCAACTTCCCTCCCAGGCCTTATTGTTTTTGCTGACAATCACTTGACTCACAGGCTCCTTGCTTCTGGGATACAGGGAAAGATGAAGCTGGTCTCAGTGTCCCAGGGCTCCAGTCCCTCCCCTGGTCTGCCCTGGCTTGCTCTGTCTCTCCCTAGAGCAGTTGGCTTTTGTCCCAGTAGAGCATGGGAACAGCTCTGGCTTGGAAACAGGAGGGGCATCCTGGCAGGTGTCACCTCTCCCACCTGGCATGGTTCCTTTCCTGTACCCAGATATGCCTCACAGCCAGCACAAGGATGGATGGGGCCCTTCCACCAGCCTTCCCACTGGGTGTGGGCAGAGGGTAGCTAGGTGTGCTGAGAAAATGGAGGGAGAGAGGGTGCAGGTAAGACCAGGAGATGCTGTGACTTTGTTCTTATTCTCTCCTTCTAGGCTCAGTTTCCTCAGCTGTGAAAAGAACCAAATGCTGAGATCCTACAGGGCTGGTTGATGGTCATCCAGCTGGGGATGGCACTCGATTAGCCCTGGAATCTCAGTTAGGATATCTTTGAAACAAACACCATCTGACTACAGAACAACTACTGTATGAGATCCGTGTATTGCCTAGGGTGGCTTTAGATGTCCACTTTATAGATGTACACCGAGGACTAGCAAGGATGAGTGTGTACCTTATCTAAGGTGACCCAGCTTGCTAGCTAGCTATGTAATCAGAATCTAAACTACAGCTCTCCATCTCTGGCAGGCAGAGCCCAGGCCCACATGGAAGCTGTCCTGTTGCCTTACCTAAGCGGTAGTATTTTCCATGCAGGACCCCATGTGCAGGCAGCGCTGGAGTGCTGGGCTTACCTCCTTTCTCATCATCTGCAAGCTGGTTCAAATGCTCTTTCATCATTTGTTTTGTTCCTCTGTCATGTCTATCCTTAGCGAGCTCCAGTTTCCTATACACCAATGCATGCATTTCTGACACTTTTAAAAGGTCGTGGACCTTAAGGATCTTGAGTGCTTGAGTGGCAGCCTTAACGGTCACAGTGCAGTAATTAATACGTTTTAGCCAAGGCCGGAGCAGAGGAAGTCAACGGGCGGGCAGGCAGTGTCGAGGTGACAACTGGAGGGAGGAGTGGGGGCGGAGCCGTGGGATGGGTGGGAGGGGACCCGCCAGTGCTCAGGGCAGTGCTGGAGTTGTATTCGAGGAGCCAGCCATTGCTTTTCACATCAGCTCCCAGAGCCATGAGCCGTGAGTCCGACCCCGGTGCCCCCCACGCCCAGGAATGTGGTGGCTTGCAGGAGGAGCCTTGAAAGCCATGCTCAACTTGTCTCTCCTCTGCAGGAAGGAGTCTCTCGTTCCAGTTTCCTCTGCTATTGCTCCTGCTGCTGCCGCCTCCACCAGTACTGCTCACAGATCCCGGAGTGCTCTCACCGGGTAGGCGACCCCACCCCTTGGTATCCCGAGTCCTGCACCACTGGCTTAGTCCATCTCCCTCTTTTCACTCGCGGTGCCTGGGAGTGGGGTGTTGAGTTTGTGGGATGGGGCTCCCCTGGAGAGCTCTAGGGGTGTGGTCATGGCTAGGGCCTGCCTACCTAGGGTCTTTGGCACACAGCTAACTGAGAGCTGGAGCTGGCATGGGGAGCTGGGACAGTTCTTTAACGTCACCTGTTCTGGGCTCCATATCCCCTCTCCCCCCAGAAGCTGGCGGTTTCCTGTGGGGACTCTTTGGAGGAGGAAGCGGCAGGCGCTAAGAGGAAGGCAGGCTGGACAGCAAGTTCCCATTCTTTAGCCTCTAACTTTTGTAGGACTACACCCTGACATCCCGACTAATCCTCCCCTAATCCGTAGAGACGGGGGGGGGGGGGGAGTAGGGTGGGGCACCAGCTATCCCAGGAATAGGGAGGTGGAAGGCAGGTGAACACACACCGATGAAATTGAGGCTCAGTGGTGTGATAACACCCCCAAGTTACATAGTGCATGGTGGGTTCAGGATTTGCAGTCAGGACTAGCCTAATCCAGAACTTCCCAATACCCTTCTTGTTTCATCATGGTGAATGGGGCTGGAAAGTCGGGCCCCTTGCAGTTCTGTCCTTTATCCCTTCTTCAGGCCAGTACCAGGTTCCAGGAAGGAAAAAGAATTCACAGGACCTCTTCCCCAGTCCCGCCCTTCCCCCCTCTCTAGCGTGGATGCTCATCTGCAAAGTAGGACCAAGAAAGACTGTCGGCTGGGAAAACAGGGAGTGGGGGTCCTGGCTTTCTGTTGGGTGCTGCTGGGACTTGGTACCCAGAGGAGGGAAGAGCAGTATTAGAGGGACTAGGAATCAGAACAGGCTTCTTGGAGGAGAGGGTTTGTGTGGGGGAAAAATTGGGCAACCTGTGCATGAATACCTCCTGTCCCCCACAAAAGTGTGGATCTTGGGAGGGAACACTTTTGACCCTCACTGCTGCATACTAAGCTCACTTCTGGGTGGATTTTTCTTCGGTGCTCACAGCAGCCTTGGGGCAGATGTGTTAGACCCTTTTCATAGAACAGAACTCTGAGATGCAGAGGAAGTTGGGTTATTTGTCAGAGCTCTGTTGTGAGCTGGTGGTGTGAGACTTGCCCTGCTGGCCATGGGAATGTGTAGTCAGTTTCAGGATGAATCCAGCTCTTACTTGGCCCCAGTTGATCCCATCTGGGCCCTCAAGTACCTGGTGTTGGTTCACCTGTCTTCCTTGCTTTTGACTCCTGGGGAGGAGGGGGTAGAGTTTAGCTTGAAGAGCATGGCTCTGTTGGGAAATCCACAGTGCTCCAATCCAGGCCTTGGATGTGGCTCTCTTTAGCCAGGGAGCCGGCATGACCTGGTGCCCCAAGCTACACAGAGCATTGAGCCATGATTTGAGCCACAGCACCCCTTCTGCGTATGTTTAGAGCGTGTGATGTAGTGGAATTTTTCTATTTTGCATCCCAAGGGCTTCTTCTGTGCCAGCCTTTGGCTGAGGCCTGGTGACACAGAGCCCAGTGGCGCTTGCAGTCTGATGTGGAGTGATGTAGGTATCCAGGGCTACACTGGAGCTCACAGTATGGTGGTAGAGATGGACAGCAATGGATTGTCATGTAGGGAAGTGAGAGCAATGATTAAGGGGGAGAGAAGCAATGGACAAGGAGAGAAAACATGACCCTGTGCGAAGAGTCAGGGAGGCTTCTTGGAGGAGGTGGTATTTATTTCAACCAGACCTTGAAGAAATGGAGGTGGTGGGAGGGGACACTGGCTTTGTGTTGGAGTTCTTCCTGCAGGAAGCAGTTAGGAGTGGAGTAACAGACATGTGTTGGACAGCAGGGTTTCTGAATACAGGGTCCCTGGAACATGAGAATGGGCTAGATGATTTGGGGGTGAGCTTGGAGGCTGAGGAGCCCATCACAGACTCCTGCAAGGGTTAAGGATAGGACAGGACAGGTGGGTGTCTGCCTGCTCCGAAGTCTGCAGAGGCCCAAACTACTTGGGCACCTGTCTGGAGTCCAATGCTGCAGAAGGAGATCTCTGCTGCTTGATGGTGGAAGAGACAGTGCCTTGTTTAGAGTTCAAATCTGTGCTGGGGACCCACAGTGTTCAAATGCTTCCTGTCCAGAGCATGTGCACATGAGTGTGCACGTAAGTATGCATGCCTGTGCATGCAGGAGCGCCTAGCGCATACACACGCGCACGCACGTGTGTGTGCAAGGTCTCTCTATATAACCCTGGCTGTTCTGGAACTCACTATGTAGACCAGGCTGGCCTTGAACTCACATACACCTACCTGCTTCTGCCTCCTGAATGCTGGGACTAAAGACAGACACCATCATACCTGGACCATTTAGGGCCCCATGCCTAGGAAGGAGAAGATATGACCTGGCAAGTATAGCTGTCTGCCAGGCTGAGGATCCTGAGGTTGCTAACTCCTGCACATGGGTGAGACTGCTCCTGTCTCCAGCCCCAGTTAGGCCTGCCACCTGGAGGCAGGGGTGCTTCTTGGGCCTGCCATGGAGGTGCCGGGCCTGGATATGCCTACAGGCCTGACTACTCAGGCTTGCTTTCCTCTTGACTGCCAGCGCCTCCTCCCTCCCGCCCCCCAGGAGCTTCTGTAAATATTATTCTTAGGGAATTTGAGTGCAGTCTCTTCTCTTCTGCCTGATGCCGCCTCCACATCCGGGAGGACTTGGTGCTCCCCAGCTGTACGTGTCCCCTGCCCTGCTTGCCTTTGAGTCCAGGTCCCCAGCTTTTGGGCTGGAAGATGTCTTACTCAAATCTATGGATGGGTTTTAGAGCTGTGAGTTTCTAGTCATGGTTAACTGTGGGAGCGTGGGTTGGCTGCTTTGACTTTAAGGTCTGTGTGTCTTGCAGGCACAGTGGCTGTCTATCATCCTGCTTCATGGATGTTAGGCACTTAGTGAGAACAGTTGCAGATTCTGTACTGAGGGCGAGAGAATGAAGAGAATAACCTAGAATGGCAGCTTGGCTTCCTGTAGAGTACAGACTGGGGCAGGGAGTCAGAGGGAGGCATCCTCTGAGTTACCCACTCTACCTGCTTAAGGGACAGACAGGCAAGCAAGCCCTAAGTGTTCATGGGTATAGCCAGACCGCACCACTTCTGAAATCCTTGTTGACATGTGCTTGAGTGAAGTAAATTAGACTGTGTCCTTGTACCTCCTAGTCTCTCCCCCGATGGCCCCTGAAGGGTGATGAGTGTTCTCAGTAGAGTTGTGGCCTCTGCTAGACAGAGGGCCGGGCTGGAATAGAACCCTGCACATGTGAAGTCAGACTGAAAGGACCATAGTCCTGTTGAATAACTGGAGGTCTGCTTACAGCATGAGGCAGTGACCTCAGGCCCCACATTCACTTGGGACTTGCAAAGTTCACCACAGCAATATCCATGGCCTTGGATTAGTGTGATTCTGCTGTGTCTCTCCTCTAAGTCAAGTCCTAGAACCGCACCCCCCCAGGAGTCAGGCAGGGAAGGGAAAGGAGGTTCACATTTTGGGTCTGTTGCCTGGAGGCTGTGGAGCTTTAGTATAAGCCCGTTGCCTTCTCTGAGCCTGGAGTTCCTCATTGTGAAATAGGAGGCTCACCCACCCATCTTCCTCCTGGGTGCTGGAAGACAAATAAACCCTGGGGATGTGAGGTCATGGACTCGGTCAATGACAGTCCCAGTTTTCCCTAGCATGGCTGCCATAGTTGGCATGGCTAAGTGGCACCTAGTCTCCTCTCTGCACATTTTCATATCCTGGAGCTCTTGTGGCTGTTGTCCCTGCCCAAGAGGACTTTTCCTGTCTTGGGGCAGCTGGTGTTTATGGAAAGGGAGTGGGGAGGAGTGAGGGAAAGCTGGCCACAGTCTGGTTGGTAGGGAGGGCCTTCTTTTGGCTTGAGGCAGGACACGGTGCTACAGGAATCTGGGTAGCTGGAACAGGAACCCTGGCAATATTAGGAGGCCCCTCAGGAGGCTGTGGGAGGATGAAGCATCTCTCTGCCCAGCAGGGAATGGCTAGTCTTATACCATTTTATTGGTCCCCTGAACACATGCAGACCAAACCCAGGCTGTGATCCCAGCCTAGTGGGAAGGTTGATGCCTGGGAAGGTGTGGCCCTCCTTCAAAGAGAAGAGACAGCAGGAAGGAGAGGAAGACTTAAGAGTGGGAACTTGGTGAGCCTTGGGCAGGGGGCAGAGCAAGATTCCTTGGAGAGGGCTGGGAGATGTGTGAAGAGAAGCAAAGTCTACCTAAGTGTGAGGGTAGGTCTTTGGGGTGTGAGGGAAGGTTGCTGCTGCCCCTCTGAGCTTCAGGACTTTCTGAGACTCCTGAGGAGGCCTGGACTCTGCCCTGTTCCTTCTGAGTGGTAACATTGTATGCTGGGTATGGGAGAGCCCTAGGCCAGAGTCAGGTTAGGCTCATGGCAGGTGAGTTGCATTTGAGTCCTCCATCTCTTTCTGGGGCTGTGACTAGCTGGGGGATTGATGGTGTGTGTGTGTGTGTGTGTGTGTGTGTGTGTGTGTGTGTGTGTGTGTGTGTGTGTGTGGTTCCTGGGTCTTGTTTGCCAGGTCTGCCTGTGGCAGCTTGATAAGGCCTTTTTGTCCAGCCTTCTTCCCCTTGGCCTCTCTCTTCCAAACCCCTGCCAGAGATCACAAAAATGTCATTGTGGGGTTGTTTAAAGTCACCAGGGCCTAAGCAAAACTATTTGCATGGTCTGTATTATTTTTGATGCTATGCCTGTAGTGATGGTGGTTCTGGGGTATCTGGAGGCCCCTGGAGGCAGGAGGGTGAGGTGAGACCACAGGCTGAGGGCTAGGTCCTGCTCCAGACCAGACCTTCTGATGCTGGTCTCTTTGATGACTGGTTAGTTCATACCAGGCTGCTCTTTTTGCCATACTCTGGACCCCTAATCATCAGTCACACACAGTGTCAAAGTTCCTTATGCTGTTGGCTCTATGCCCAGAAAGAGAAGCCTTTGCAGAATGGATCTTGGCATTTCTGTGAAAGCCAAAGGGAGGTGCCTCCTGCCAGGAGCTAGGGGTCCTGGGTCTGCCTGGCTTTGCTCTATGTTTTTGCCAAGTAGCACTCCCTGAGCCTCAGTTTTCCTGGATGAACAGTGTGTGAAGGAGGAGATGGACCTGGCTGAACTGAGTAACTGTCTAACTTGACAGCTGAAGCATCGCTGAGATCACAGAGATATAGCAAGGGGTGGCAGTCAGAAGGATGGGGCTGGACACAGGGAGGGACCTCATTGTTTGGGGCTCATTAGGGAAGAAGGAGGGTGGATGCAGAGTTCACACGCATTTCAGGAGATTTCTTTCCAGCCAGGCTCCTTGTGTTCTCCCTGCACTTGACTTCCTCAAGGTCTTAGGACACAGACCCCACCTTCGCTTAGGTCAAGTCTGAGCTTTTCAGGGCAACTCAGATCTTGGGGTCCCCCTCCCTGACCCTTGTGCTTTATCCTTGGCTCTGAAAAGCCTCTTTCCTGGAGTTGATGCTGAGCCTGGGGAGGATGGCTGGAGAGGAAGTGAAGGGATGGACAGTTGGCCTGATTTGACTATTTCCTGGTGACCTTTCCTGGCCTCAGTTTCCCCCACCTGCAAAGTGGGCATGAGAAACATACTGTGCCCTCCCTTTTGTAGAAATGGAAGACTAGAAACAGATCCTGTCTTCCTAGTGCCTAAGTGATCACATGCAGGCTCATCTGGGAGAAAGCCTTCCACACCCTGATCTCTTTTCTGAAGCCCCTACAATACCCTTGTCATTTGGCTCTGCCAAGGCAGGAAGTGACCCCTCAGATACTCACAGCACATTGTCTTATCAGCTGCTCCCCAGCCTGGGAATCAACAGCCTGTGTCTCCACTCTTCCCCTTACCCCTTGGTGGCAACAGGGAGGGAGGAGAACTTTCTCCTGGGCCCCAAATGCGGGCTAGGCTGGAGATCTAGGGCATGAGAGGAGTCCAGAGTTCATTTGGGAGAGAGCTACCTCTGTGCCCTTTCTCCACACTCGCGGGTTGGGTGGGGTCAGGGAGCTCCTTGAAGGTGTTCCTAATGCTTGTTTCTTGTCCACAGTCAATCCCTGTTGTTACTATCCATGTCAGAACCAGGGAGTCTGTGTTCGCTTCGGCCTGGACCACTACCACTGTGACTGTACTCGCACGGGCTACTCGGGCCCCAACTGCACCATCCGTGAGCTAGGCTTCAGGCCCCTACCTCTCCTGCTCCCTCTGTAGCCTGACAACCCCCTTCCTTTCTGGCCATGGCTTCTTTTGCCTCCTTGTTTGGCTTTGACCTTGCTTAAACATGTCTTCCAGGTGAGCTCTTTTCTTGGTCCACTCCCCTCCATGGTAGTTCTTTTCCATGCTCCCTGCCCCCTGTGCTCATTTTGGGTCCTGGCTCTTTCATGTATCAACTCCTAAGGGTGCTGCCTATAGCTTCCTGTTTGGTCCCTATCTTCTCACCATGGGTAACTGGTCTTGGCCAGAAGGGATGGACTCAGTGGCTCCCATTGTCCGTGCAGCTGAGCTATGGACCTGGCTGAGGAATTTCCTACGGCCCAGCCCCTCCTTCACCCATTTCCTGCTGACACATGGGCGCTGGTTCTGGGAGTTTGTAAATGCCTCCTTCATCAGAGAAACACTCATGCGCCTGATACTCACAGGTAAGTGTGGGGCTGGGCTCCTTTAATCTGGGGAACAAGGAATCACCCCAGGTTTTAGGATTCCTGGCATCTGAATAAGTAGAGAAACTCTCTGATACCAGGTAAAACAAGGCCCAGCATAGGAGGAGGCAGGGAAGTGGAGTGGGATGGGGACAGCCTTGTCACCATTACTTTTGCTCTGCAGTGCGGTCCAACCTTATCCCCAGCCCTCCAACCTACAACTTAGCACATGGCTACATCAGCTGGGAGTCCTTCTCCAATGTGAGCTACTATACTCGAGTTTTGCCTTCTGTGCCCAAAGACTGCCCCACACCCATGGGAACCAAAGGTAAGGGACAGCAGTAGGGGGCTGTTCTGAGCTCTTCTCTTCAGGCAAAAGCAGGCAGAAGAGACATTACTGACCAATTTCGTAGATGGGTGGAGCAAGGCAAGAAAGTTGACATGTCCAGGACCAAGGAAGAGGACAGAAGAGGCAGCTGAGGTTCTTGCCTAAGGTGACAAGGAAAGTCAGAGGCAGGTTCTCCCAGATGAGGCCACATGTGATCACCTAGGCACTAGGAAGACAGGATCTGTTTCTAGTCTTCCGTTTCTACAAAAGGGAGGGCACAGTATGTTTCTCATGCCCACTTTGCAGGTGGGGGAAACTGAGGCCAGGAAAGGTCACCAGGAAATAGTCAAATCAGGCCAACTGTCCATCCCTTCACTTCCTCTCCAGCCATCCTCCCCAGGCTCAGCATCAACTCCAGGAAAGAGGCTTTTCAGAGCCAAGGATAAAGCACAAGAGTCAGGGAGGGGGACCCCAAGATCTGAGTTGCCCTGAAAAGCTCAGACTTGACCTAAGCGAAGGTGGGGTCTGTGTCCTAAGACCTTGAGGAAGTCAAGTGCAGGGAGAACACAAGGAGCCTGGCTGGAAAGAAATCTCCTGAAATGCGTGTGAACTCTGCATCCACCCTCCTTCTTCCCTAATGAGCCCCAAACAATGAGGTCCCTCCCTGTGTCCAGCCCCATCCTTCTGACTGCCACCCCTTGCTATATCTCTGTGATCTCAGCGATGCTTCAGCTGTCAAGTTAGACAGTTACTCAGTTCAGCCAGGTCCATCTCCTCCTTCACACACTGTTCATCCAGGAAAACTGAGGCTCAGGGAGTGCTACTTGGCAAAAACATAGAGCAAAGCCAGGCAGACCCAGGACCCCTAGCTCCTGGCAGGAGGCACCTCCCTTTGGCTTTCACAGAAATGCCAAGATCCATTCTGCAAAGGCTTCTCTTTCTGGGCATAGAGCCAACAGCATAAGGAACTTTGACACTGTGTGTGACTGATGATTAGGAGTTTTGGGGGCTTGAGCTTAGGCATCTGTGGGAGGTATCTTTACCTGCTGAGCCCACTTACCGGATGCCTGTATGATTCTTCGATACAGTCTCCCTGTTACCCAGGCAGGCCTTTAACTGTAGATATTCTTGCCTCAGCCTGCCCAGTGCTGGCATTATATGTGTCCACTATCATAACTGGCACTTGGTAGGGTATTTTAGAAGAGATTCCAAATACCAGGCCATTTCCTTGGCAAATACTTAAAGGCCTTTCTTTCAGTAGAGCTTACCTGTGGTGAGGAAGGACAGGTCCTGGAGGGGAAGAGGACACTATGGCCTTCCTGCTTGAGCTAGTTTGCCTGGGGACTTCTGGGAGCCCAGTGGTCCCCAAGGCAGTAAGATACAAGCAGGACCTAGGCATCTACTGTTCTTTCCTACCTCCCTAACCAGGGAAGAAGCAGTTACCTGATGCTCAGCTCCTGGCCCAACGACTGCTGCTGAGAAGGAAGTTCATTCCTGCCCCCCAGGGGACTAACATCATGTTTGCCTTCTTTGCACAACACTTCACCCACCAGTTCTTCAAGACCGCTGGAAAGATGGGTCCTGGCTTTACCAAGGCCTTGGGCCATGGGGTGAGTATGCAGGAAGGACCTCATTGCCACGTGCAGGCTATCACCAGAATCCAGGTGATTGGAGCGGACCTTTCTCTGTCCTCAGATAGACCTTGGCCACATTTATGGAGATAATTTAGAACGACAGTATCGTCTGCGTCTCTTCAAGGATGGGAAACTCAAGTACCAGGTAGTGTTGGTTGGGGATGGAACAGTGGGAAGGGCCTCCCTCATTTTCTCTTGTAAAGATGGCTGGGTAGGACAATGGAACAGAGAGCAAAGGCTGTGAGGAGCTAAAGGGGCCAAAAAAATAAATAAAATAAAATAAAGAAAATGCATGACCTCCCATGGTTCCCCATGTCCTCCCATGGCTCCCCATGGCTTCCCATATCCCCTCATGGCCTTCCATGGCCTCCAAAGACCTCCCATGACTTCTGATGGTCTCCCATACCCTCCATGGCCTCTCATGGCTTCCCACATCCCCCCATGGCTTCCCATGGCCTCCTGGAGATGCTTTCATTCTACTGTACCACGTTGCAGAGTGCGCACCATGAGTTGACTTGTGCAGGTGATTAGGCAGTGTCCACCTTAGCTATAGGCCCAGCCACCATGGAACCACAGTCCACTAGGGGTCATGTACATGAATGTCAGTGTATGAGGAAACCACAGTCTATCAGGGGTCACATAACAGGAATGCTGGGGTATGCGTTGTAAAAAGATTTCTTGTGTAAATGAGAGCTGTCCAACAGTAGCACGGGCCTCATATCTAATTCAAATTTCCTAGTGGCCACATTAACAAAAGGGAAAAACAGATAAGATGCATTTTAATAATACACTTTACTTGGCTTGGAGAGATGGCTCAGCTGGTAAAGACACTTGACACCAAGCCCAACGACCAGTGTTTGATCCCTGTGATCTATGTATAAAAGAGAGATAGATAGATAGATAGATAGATAGAGAGAGAGAGAGAGAGAGAGAGAGAGAGAGAGACAGAGCAGTTTCTGCAAGTTTCTGCAGTTTCTGTCTTCTGACCTCCACAGGTTCACTTTGGCACCAGTGTGCTCTTGCTTTGTGCACATATAAATAAATAAATAAATAAATGTAATAAAATTTAAAAAGTGCTTCATTGGAGGTAGCTGATATTTCTCTAGACTTCATAAAAATTGTAATTGAATAAGGAGATTCACATACCCAGTAGATGAAACATCAGCTTTAATATTTAAAATTACAGGGCTGCAGAGATGGCAAAGCAGTTAAAAGCACTGGCTGCTCTTCCAGAGGACCTGGGGTTGCTTCCTAGAACCCACAAGGGGCACATAACCATCTGTAACTTCAGCTCTAAGGGATCTGATGCCTTCTTCTGGCCTCTGTACGCATCCCCACAGACGAGGCATACATGCATATATACAAAAAGAAATCTTGAAAAAGGAAAGTTTAAAACAAAATAATCAAGCAAAATCTAAATGAAATGAAATGGAGGTTTTCACTCTAGTCCAATTTGGAATGCCCAGGGGCCACAGATGGTAGCAGCTACTACTGCAATGGGTTATGGAAATCTGAATGAATGGAACGAAAATTCACTGGGGCATCATCAGAGCTGAGAACACTACTTGGCAGGTAGTGTGTACATTTAATGAATGGATGAAGAAACCAACGCCTGCCTAGTTACTCTTGTGATAATTGCCACTGACCAGTTGGTACCATCAGAGAGTCTTGAGGCTGGGATGGCTCCTCCAGGGAGTTAGAGTTGCTGGGTAGTTGAGGAAATCAAGAAGGGGCCAGGGTTGTTGGCTCTCCAGAGGGCTTAGCTATGAAAACGTTTGGAGGCAGGAAGATCTAGGGGTGCATGTTGTGTGAAGGGTTTTAATCTTCACAGCTGCAGAGGGCGGCTGGAAGTGTTTCAAGCTAGGCTGTGATAGTAGATTTGAGGGCTTTGTTGTTTACTTTTTTAAAGGGGTTCTCTGACTGCTGTGTACCTAAAAAGGATGTCTAGGAGAAAGAGCTGGTCTAGGGCAGGCACTTAGGGAGTAGCAGGCAGGTGGGCTAGGGTTGAGGAAGTAAAGCTGGAACACAGCTCCTCGATGTGGAGAGCTATAGAGAGGGATCTTGGAGGAGGGCTGGAGTCAGCTGCGGCTGCCCTGCCTGGCCCCAGGTTGCCAGGCTGCCCCATCCCACAGGTGCTGGACGGAGAGGTTTATCCACCATCTGTGGAACAGACGTCTGTGCTGATGCACTACCCACCTGGTGTCCCGCCCGAGAAGCAGATGGCTGTGGGCCAGGAAGTGTTTGGTTTGCTACCGGGGCTGATGGTCCTCTCCACGATCTGGGTGCGGGAGCATAACCGTGTGTGCGACTTGCTGAAGGAGGAGCACCCCACCTGGGATGATGAGCAGCTCTTCCAGACCACTCGTCTCATCCTTATAGGTGAGCACATCTGAGTGCTGGGAGACCAGCAGGTTAGGACTGTGATGTTAATGAATGTGGGAGAGTCACAGCCTGAGTCCCAAGCCAGGTTTGGCAACCCATACTCAATAACCCAATTAAAATAAAAACAAATAATAGCACAAGCAGAAAAAAAGAGATTTAGTCAGTGTGGTCCCATTGGTGAGAGGGATAGTTGCTAGTGGCTCTAGGCTGTGGCTTCAGACCCTAACTGTGTTGCAGAAGGATTTGCTATGATGCCTTGTGGGAAGGCTCTGAGTACATTTGATTGGTCACCTGGAATCCTACTTTGTTTCCCCCTTGTGCTACACCCAGTTTGGCATTAAGATCTTCAGGGCACCAGGACCAAACCACAGCTTACCCCACCCCCAGGAACCCCCAATTTCCCCACTCTCAGCCTATTGAACTTTGTGGAGTTTTGTAGATTGTAGGTGACTCAGGGACAAGATATTTTTGTGTGTCCTATGGGGGTGGATCCATAACCTAAAATGTCAGATGGCTTCCTGCCTGGGAGCTTGGACCCTGACACCTCTGTCCAGATCATAGCCTGTGTGAGTCACCCACCACCTCTGGGCATTACTGGGCATGGCTGGTCCCAATTACAGTGTTTAATTCACTGGCTTCTGGAAGAGTCAGGCACTTGGGATAGGAACAGCCAGAGAGTAGACAGGCTGAGTTTTCTTCTGAAGTCTGTATCTCACAGACCTTTACCAAAGAGGTCAGGTCTCTGGTTAGAGGTTGCCCAGCACCTTGGATGGCGAAGAAACTGTGACCAAAGCTGGGACTCTAGCTAACCTGTATTGACATGGTTGAGGTTGCCTGTCCTATGTCAACAGTATAAGCACCTCTGTTGTTCTCTCTTCACATGACCTGATACATGGCCATATGGAGATCACATGGGAATTAACAGAGCTTATAGTTTACAGTCCAGGAAAGTGAGCCTCAAGCTCAGATACCTACATATTAAGAAGTTAGGATGTTGGGTGGTGGTGGTGCACACCTTTACTCCTAGCACTGAGGAAGCAGAGGCAGGTGGATCTCCGTGAGTTCAAGGCCATCCTGGTCTACAGAGTGAATTTTAGGACAGCCAGAGTGGTTACACAGAGAAACTCTGTCTTGGAAAAACAAACAAACAAACAATAAAAACTAAAAAAAAAAAAAAACCCAAACCAAAACAAAACAAAAACAAAGAAGCTAGGATGTGAACCCATGTCTACTAACCCCAAATCCCGTGGCTCCAGGTTAGTTTACTGAAAAGCCAGTTCATCTGTTGGCTGATTGGTCCAGATAACAGTTTTCTTTAACTGTTTGCTGGCCTGTTTTCCTGTTGTTCTGGATTTTTCAGCTTACTTCTTTTTGGCTGTTTGTGTTATAGATAACTGGTTTCTAAGGAATCAAAGGAACACCTCTGCCCACGAGATTCTAATGTCTATAACAACACATGAGAAATACAGTATATTTACTCGAATGCCCAAGACTGCATTGCCCAGATGTGTGGCTTCTTTGGCTGCTGCTGCAGTAGCTGTTAGATGGTGTTCCTGAAACCCTCCTCCTTCACTGACAGCTTCAGTGAAATGATATTCCTCACTAACCCAGCACCACAGTTTTTATATCTTTCAGAGTTTCTCAGCTTACAATCTTTTTTAGATAAACTTTTTTTTTTTAAGCATCTTGACATAAATTTTGCAACTCCTGCCTTGGTCCTCCAAGTTCTGGGACCCTGGGTCCTGGTCTATAGGAGAGAGGTTATATCAGGGTTGGGAAAACAGGTTTTTTTTTTTTTTTTTGGACAGGATTTCTCTGTATTGCTTTGGAGCCTGTCCTGGAACTAGCTCTGTAGACCAGGCTGGCCTTGAACTCATAGAGATCTGCCTGCCTCTGCCTCCAGAGTGCCGGAATTAAGGGCTTGTGCCACCAACGCCCAGCTGGGAAAGCATTTTTTTTTTAAATTTATTCTTTGTATTTTGGTGTTTTTGCCTTCATGAATATCTGTGCACCACATGCATGCCTGGTGCCTGAGGAAGCCAGAAGATGGCGTCAGATCTCCTGGAACTGGAGTTACTGATGGTTGTGAGCCACCATGTGGGTGCTGGGAGTTGAACCTATGTTCTCTGGAAGAGCAGCCAGTGCTCTTCATCCCTTTCCATCTCTCTCTAAGCCCCCTGGAAACCAGTTTTTGGATTACTCCTTTACTGGGTCCAGGGTCTCCCTCTGGAGCAGCAATGCCTTGTCTGGGAATCTTAGTCAAATCTGAGTGAGTCTGTTTTCACATCCCCTTACAAGACACAAAAGGAGAAGTGACCGAGGGGAATAAATAAACACCAGCAACAGCAAGGAGACAAGGAGCATTTGTCATGAGTTGTCCCATTTCCCACACACTTACCTCTGCTGACACCATTTCCTATCTTCCCCACACAGGGGAAACCATCAAAATTATCATCGAGGAGTATGTGCAGCACTTGAGTGGTTACTTCCTGCAGCTCAAGTTTGACCCGGAGCTGCTGTTCCAAGCTCAGTTCCAGTACCACAATCGCATTGCTGTGGAGTTCAACCATCTCTATCACTGGCATCCACTCATGCCCGACTCCTTCAAAGTGGGCTCACAAGAGTACAGCTATGAGCAGTTTTTGTTTAACACCTCCATGCTGATGGACTATGGTGTTGAGGCATTGGTGGATGCCTTCTCTCGACAGAGGGCTGGCCGGGTAAGCTTCAGAGGAAGAGTCATCAGGGAAGGGCTCCAACAGATTTGTTCTAAAACCCAGTTTCCTTATCTGTGGGATGTGCATAGTGTCGCTTCTACAGGTGGTTGTAAATATCTCTATGGATTCTCTCATACAGGTACAGTGTCAGGGCTTATTGGTTACTTTCATGTTGTTATGCCTCAAATACCTGACAAAAGAAACTCAAAGAGAAAGGGGTTATTTCAGCCCACAGTGTCACAGTGAGGAAGCTATGGCAGAGTAACCCTGTCTGCGGCAGCAGGAGCTCCAGGAAGAGGCTGTTTATCTGTTCATATCACAGCAAACAAGGATAATGAGATGGGAGCCGGGGGTTGAGCTGTAGCCTTCCAAGACTGTCTTTTAGTGACCCATTTTCTTCAGCTTGGCCACACCTTCTAAAGGTTCCACAGTGCCCCAATAGTGCCACCATTTGGGGAGAAAGTGTTTAAAATCCAAACCTATGGGATACATTTCAGGGTCAGACCACAGCACAGACATTACTCCAGATGCTTGGGATATGGTGATGAGCACAATTGACATGGCTCTTGGACCCTGTCCCATTGGCACTTACACTATAAAAGAGTGTAATGACAGTTAGCATCATTTGAGTACTTGACTATAAGGGACCATGACAGGTGTTTTGCTAGTGTCCTCAGAATGATAACATGTTGAGGACCATAGTACAGAAAGCCATGGTGCTCTATCAACTCTGCGGCCCAGAGTTGGGTGTTAGGGTGATGGCAAAGCAGAGATGATAAAGATGAGCAGGCATTTCTCCTGGAAGGGGGTAGTGATGGTGAGAGGGGATGATTGTATCCCAGATGGAGAGGACAGCATGCGCAAAGGACTGAGGGACAGAGGGCATGGCATTCAAGGAACAGGAGGACTCTATTAGGATATGGTACTATCCATGACAGTGCCTGTATAAAATGCTTTTTGAATTCTATGCTTCCTATCAGCTGAATTGTGTCTTCTCCTAAACTAATATGCTGTTATCCTAACACTCAAGACCTCAGAATAACATTTGGAGATATTATCTTTAAAGAGACAATTAAGAAGACTAACTAGGAAATTGGGGTGGGCCCTAATCCAATGTGATTGGTACCCTTGTAAGATCAGGAGATTAAGACAGACTCACCCAGAAGGAAAGCCACATGCAGACACAGAGAAGAGGCTATCTGTAAGCCTAGAGGCCATCTCCAGAAAGAAGCAAGCATTAGACATACTACCCTTCAACACATATGTGGTCAACACATATGTGTGGCTTTGGCAAACAAATGCATTCTTGTGGGATACCTAGCCAACCACTCTGAAATCCTCCTTTCTGCAGTTGAAGCTCTCCTTCCTGCACCCTAGCTGTCTGGATCCATCAATCTTGAGAACTTCGCTTCTCTGTCATCATTGTCCCTCAGCTCTGTTAGGAAGCTGTGACACTTAGTGGATTTACATTTCCTCTTGGTAATTTGACTGCAATTAGCATTTACTGGCACCTGCATATGCTGACAGGCTTATGTCCTCTGCTCTCTGTGGGAACACAGGTGTAAGAAGGGATAGTAGCCTTTGTGTGGGGCTGTATGGCTGGGAAGTATGTGAAAGGTCTGGGTTTTGAAACTGGCAGGAGAGAGCAGGTGTTAACTCTCAGGATCTTAAAAAGGAGCAGAAGCAACAAAGAAGGCCTTTCTCTAATGATCATCACGATGGTGATGGCTACTGTCTGATGTTGCCATGTGACTGGCACTGTGACAACAGCTGTGCATCCTCCATCCCCTTTATTTTACCACAACATATCAGGCGGATGCTCCTGCACTCACTGTGTTTGCCTATAAGGAAACATGAACATAGTCTGTACTTGTGTTTGCATTCCAGGGTTTCTCAACAAAATGCTTCAAAGTGCTTAAGGTAACAGAGATGTGTCCTTCACTGTTGGGTGGCAGCATGGCCACTCTCTCTGAGGGCTCTATTCTATGCCTTTCTCAGTAGGCTCTCATAGTCTCTAGTTTTTTTCTTGACTTGTAGAAGTGCCACTTAACTGTCTGCCTCCACCATCTTGTCACATGGTATCTTCACTACGCCTCTAATCTCATTTAAAATCAACCACTCGGTTGAACACAGAGGTACACTCCTGTACTCCCAGCACTCTGGAGGTGGAAGTAGAAACACCAGGAATTCAAGGTCATTCTAGCTCCATGGCACATTCTAGGCCAACATAAGACCCCGTCTCAAAAATTGAACACAAAAAGTATAACATGAATTCTAATAGGTCTTAATAATATAAGTCTGGAGTCAGATATTAAGGGGTGAAAGCTGAAAGATCTTACCTCTACAAAATCCTCAGACTGAATAGAGACCGACTTCCTGTCTCATCCTGTTTATGTTCTTCTCTCTGCCCAGTCATCTCACTTCCTGCCTGCTGTACAGACCTCCAGACCTCTATGGTTAGCTAGTGGCTAGTTCCATCCTCAGAACTTCAGACAAATTTTTATTAGTTAGAGCATAAACAAGATATCACCACATTCCCCCTTTTTGCCTAAAAATATTTGTAATAAGTACAATGATTATATATAATATAAATGCATCAACGATGTCTAGTCCATTAGCAATTGACAAATTCAGAGAAAATACTCTATATTTATGTTATCTTGGTAAGTCCAAAAGGTTGTACCTAATTCACTTTCTATTTTAACTTGCATTACCAGAACTATCTTTTTATATGTCTAAACATTATACACTTTATATTTCTTTAGTGAATTTCTTTTCTGAATCTGAAAACAAGGAAGACTAAAACTATAAAGTCTTCAACTCCATCAGAGACCCAAAGGAAATAATATTACCTGAGTAAGTAGGAAGTGCAAGCAGGCAACTTCCAAAAAATGTGAGAAATGACAAAAACAGCTGGATGCCTGGATGGTCACCCAAGCTTCCTCTGCAACATTGGGGCATCCATCTTTGGTCTACAGGCCTAGCATATCTGACAGACTTTTCTGTGAAGCTGGATATTCTGAAGGGCTGTCTTACCTTGTTTCAGCAAAGTTCAGTAGTCCTTTCTTTTGTGACCTGCTTGTCCAATTTGGACAGCATACTGTCAGCAGTCAAGGCAAGAATACTTGCCCAATGGCTAACTTTTGCCATAAAGAAAATAAACTCCATGTGGAGTTTCTTCAATGCCCATCATCTTCTCTGAAGTAGATTGGTGCTGTCAGGAGCAAACATGCCTCATTGTCATAAAAAAGAAAAAGAACCTGTTATTAAATCATATTAAATGCTATATTCTCTAGGTCTTTGAAGTGTCTGAAGATGACATGTCTATCTAAACTATATCTCTGTTTGACCTTGAAGACATACCTAATATGATTACAAGTTGGATTGTAATAGGTGACTAATTGCTAACCTGCATTTCCTTATTATCCTAAATAGTTGGTAATAATAACTTTAAAGGCTAAAAATTTGCATCGAGCAAGATTATAAATATATGTACAGCATGGTCTAACAAAAATAATCTCAACTTTGTATCAATATACAAAAATCCAAACCAATTTAAAATACCTTTTTGGTTTAAAAGTAAATTCAATAATCTACCCTTTTCTATTTCTATATTCCTATTTCTATATTCCCCTTTATTCTTTTCAGAGTAAAGTCAATAATCTACCCTTATATCCTATAATATCTACATCTGCCTTTTTTTTCAAAACAGGAACTCTGAATCTAATCCCCTTTGTTCTCTAAACAATGGCACATATTCATAACCCATCAAATGACCAAAAACCACTCACATTTAAAATGTGGGTGCCACATTCTTAAATTTTCTTTCTGCTGTCTGGGGGCAATGGCATCTTTAGGGGAGCCTGAAAAGAAAAATTTGGGTTAATAGTCAAGTCCTGGGAAAGGTAGCCGAACCATTTGTCATCCGGTCTCTGTATTATGGGAAAGTGCAGGCTTAGTCTCAAATACTGGCTAGAGTAGTCTGTGAGGTTGGGTTATCTCAGCTAGCTACCTTGAAATTGTCATTAGTAGTTTGTTGTCCAAAGCTGATCTTTAGGTGGTGTTATTCAGCTTAGTGGCATTGTCACAGTCCTGATGGAATTGTCACTGTGGAACGCATCTCCTTTTTGGAGACTTCAAAGGTCACTGTTAGGTGTGGTCATGGTTCATGGCAGAAAACTTAAATATTTTAAATGTCATATGCAATAGATTTTTAAAGATGTTATGCACATCTTTGTTATGTACATCTAGAGTATAAGAACTTAATTCCTAGTTATCTGATAGAGACTCAAATCCAAAACCATGTACAGTAAGCTAGATGAAGCCTGTTTTAAGCATTAGTTAGTACTCTATATGACCATTAATATCTGACAAAAACTTTAATGTATATATATATATATATATATATATTAATCTTGTAAAGTTTTAGATAACATTTATATCCCAAGAAAAGCTTCAAAGACTCAAAATAAAACCAAAGGATTATGAGATTAATGGCAAAACATAGACCTTTAATTTTTGTTTTTCTTCTGTCCCATATCAGGTGGCTCTTCTGACATGAGACAGTGACTTTGGATTTTACTTTAACAAGCATGCTTGTATTGAAGTCCTGGCTAGAGTAGTCTGTGAGGCTGGATCATCTCAGCTAGACACCTTTTCCATATGAGGATTATTATAAGTAGGCACCATGAAGGCTAAGTTTTCTCTGTCTTTTTCTTTTAAAGGTATAGTGAAAAAAAAATTTTTTTTAAAATCAGTACTATAAGAGACATGCTTTAGGTACTGAGAAGACAAAGGAATTCCAGAATGTAGAGAGTCCATTAGCCAAATCAACTTATTAACAACGCTTAGATCTGTTATCATTCTCCATTTTCCAGATTTTTTAAAAATAATAAATACAGGAGAATTCCAAGGGCTGATTGATTCTTCAGTATGCTGAACATTTAGCTGTTCTGTTCCAGTTGTTCTAAGGCCTGCAGTTTCTCTCTTATTAAAGACCATTGCTTAACCCACACAGTTTGTATATTAACCATTTTAAAGGTAGGGCTGTTGGTGACTTTGAAAAATTAGCAGCTGTTGTGCCCTGTTCTTGTGCAACCTGAATGGCTGGTGACCGCTATTTATAATACTTTCTAATATTTTCCCCCAAATGCATACTAATATATGGTTTGTTTCTGAGATTGGGGGAATGTTAATCAGAGTATTCCATTGCTATAATAAATCATGTCCCCATAAGTTCATTGATATGTTAGCCACATATGCCTTTAATTTTCCTCTCTGCCCTTCTGACCCTATACATTTGACCCATCTCATGCTTCTGTTTTACCTGAGATGAAGTCCCAATCCCTAAAAACTGAACATTTACCTGAAGAGGCTAATTTGAATGCCAAGATTCTGGTGCAATTATTGTGACATCTGCACTTGTGCTTACAAGGCCTTCAGTGACAGCATCACTTATTTGTATTTTTAATTTTGGTCTTCTTTTATAGAAGTTTGCCAAAATATTTGCTTCATGGTTTCTCCTGAAATTTTTGTTCTCTCTTCTATAGCTTTTCTATCATCCACACCAGTATACTTTCTTATAATAGGCATTAGGTTCTTTAATTGCTCTGGGAAGGAGTTTGCTCTACAATGACAGAAAATGACTGCACTGAATTTGTGCATATCCTGATGGAGAAGGGTTACCTTGAATGTCCCTTGTTGACCTACATTCATTAGTTCAATGCCTGCCTTTGCCACACCTTCTGCATAATCCAGAAGGGAGGGGCATTTCATTTGAATTATGCTTATAAAAAAACATTGTTTCTAAGAATTCCCTGCCTACAATCCCCTTTTAAATGGCCTTGTTTGCCACAATTGAAACACTTGACATTTTGATATTTCTTCAAACCTCTGAAAATCACCTCTGCTATCCATGCATCATTATGGTCATGAGATTCAATATTGATTGTCTCCTGGATCCATTAATATCATGTCAAAAACTTTAATATTTGTATACATTATATATAAACTAATCTTATAAATTTTTAGATCACATTTATACCTTAAGAAAAGCTTCAAAGACTTAAAACCAAAGGATTATGAGATTAGTGAAAAAAAATAGACCTTTAATTTTTGTTTTTCTTCTGTCTCATATCAGGTGGCTTTTCTGACATGAGACAGTAATTTTGGGTTTTACTTTAACAAGCATGCTTGTATTGAAGTCCTGGCTAGAGTAGTCTGTGAGGCTGGATCATGTAGAGTACTAACTAACGCTAGAAAAAAGCCTTTGTTGACCTACATTCATTAGTTCAATTCCTGCCTTTGCTACACCTTCTGCATAATCCAGAAGGGAGAGACATTCCATTTTTTTTTTTTTGAAAACTAATTCCTGCTTCAAGAATTCCCAATTGTATCACCAACTAAATGTGCTGAAGGTGGAGCATGAGTCTGCCTCTGTGTAGCTTGTGTGAGCTGACAACGTAAGTGGTGCACAGCTTGGCTGAAGACAGCTGCAGCTGCTAGTGTGTAGCTGTGAGCTGAGGGTGTGTGGTGGTTGCAACAACAGTAGATGTCTGAGTGGGTGGCAAGACAGCTACCTAGTGTGGCAGCAGCTTGATGGGGGGGGTTTCGGGGAAGCCCACAACCCATGGGGGAGAGTGAGATGTCTGTCTGAAAAATGCACAGGGGATTGTACAGAAGAAGCATGTGTGGTAGCAGCTGCCTGAGGGTAGAGCCAGCTGGTCTAGGGCAGGTAAGTTCTGTGGTGTTTCGAGCCCAGGTGCTTCTGGAGTTTGGGTGGCAGCTGGAGATTGTTTTAGAGAGGCTACAACAGGAAAATTCCAAACTCACTCAGAAACCTAGCCAGGCAGGGTGGTGACTCTGGCGGGAGCCCTGCATGCTGCTCTGGCCTGTACTGGTGGCTGCAAAGCCACAGGCAAGCAGCTGTTTCATGAATTCATGCCCCACGTTGGGTGCCAATTATGTAACATGAGTTCTAATAGGTCTTAATAATAAAAGCCCAGAGTCAGATGTTAGGGGCTGAAAGCTGAAAGATCAGAGAGGCAGAGCAGCCAGCCACTATAGCTCTTACCTTAATGAAATCAGACTAAAAGGAGACAGAGTTCCTGTCTCCTCCCACCTCTGTTCCTTTCTTCACCCAGGCATCTCACTTTCTGTCTGTCTATACAGACCTCAAGACCTCTATGGTTACCTAGTAGCTAGCTCCACCCTCTGATCTTCAGGCCAGCTTTATTTGTTAGTGTTTATAAACAAGATATCATCACAAACAAGGCACATTATATGCTTTTATTACAGAAAATTGTTATACATATTCAACTTTCTATTATTACTATGTCTCTTACTAGATTTAATTCACAAGTTAAACTTTACCATACTTATGTATAGACAAAATGTATGTATATGGTTCAGTACCATTTCAGACATCCATTTGGTGTACAGTACTCATCCCTCTTTGGATAATGTGAGTTGATATTTTGTCTATGTCAGGACATGCATGAGAGGGATGATACAGGTATATGATGCTTAATTTACTGTGTAGGGCATAGCACTCAGATATGACAGTTACATAACTAACAGATGCCAGGTGATTGACAAGCTAGGCAGCTTTTGCAGTACAGACATGCTGGACAGGGGGATGATTCACACCCTGGGCAGCATTGAGAGAGTCCACATTAGATTTCATCATGCTACTCAGAATAGCATGCAATTAAAAACTTAGGAATTTTCCATTAAATATTATCAGATTGTAATTGCCTGTGGGTGATGGGAAGTATGTAAAGCTAAGTGACCAGCAAGAACAGACTATTATATTTCAGCTAAGGTCATATTTGTGGGTGGGACAGGTTAGATAGTACATCTTTGTGGGGGCAATTCCAGCCACACAGCTTGGCATGGGTGGATCTGGGGTTAGAGCCACTCTATGCTTGCTGTTCCAAGTTTGCTTTGCTCTCAGCCATATGATTTCAATTCAACTGTTTTTCTTCCCTGCTCAGTTATATTTGTTCTGTCAAACACATCTCAGGGGAAGCAGAGCTTCCTTTAAACTGGTTCTTTGTAACTATTATGACTTCTTGTGGGATCTTGTGTGTGTGTGTGTGTGTGTGTGTGTGTGTGTGTGTGTGTGTGTCTGTCTGTCTGTCCATGTGGCAGAGGTCAACTGTGGGTGTCATGTCACTCCTCAGGAACTGTTTACCTGGCTTTTCAGACAGGATCTGTACTTGGCCTAGAGTTTTCCAAGTGAGCTAGGCAGGCTGGCCCACAAATCCCTGGAATCTGGGGCCTTTCTTTTTTCGTCTGGACTTTTTCTCTCTCTCAATAAAATGACACTACCTGTTGGTGTGACTGAAGGAGTTCCAGTCACCAGAGAGTGGAGAGCTGAACACTTGGGAAGCTGAAGGCATTAGAATGAGAATGGCATAGCAGAGCCGAGCCAAACCACAGCGTCACGACCTGTGGGCTGTACCACACTTTCTGTCCTGGTTCAGAAAGAACTAGAGCCGCGGAGTTATTATTTTAGGACCTTACACAGGAGACTCTGGCCTGGTTCTTAGACTGATAGCTGTGCTAATCTCTTGGCAGATTGGTGGGGGTAGGAACTTCAACCACCACATTCTACACGTGGCTGTGGATGTAATCAAGGAGTCCCGAGAGATGCGCTTACAGCCCTTCAATGAATACCGAAAGAGGTTTGGCATGAAGCCCTATACATCTTTCCAGCAGCTCACAGGTAGGCAGCTGCTTCCTGGACAGTCTCCACCCTTGTAGTATATACAGGAAGTGAGGGAGATCGCAAGGTGAGAGCATTGTGACTGAGCATTGTAGGGGACAGCAGTGAACGTGACAATGGCCTACTTGGGGAAAGATGATGACTTTCCAGGTGGGTTTGAGGGATAAATAGGAACTTTCCAGGCTGAAAACAGAGGGAGGAGAACTTCAGGTATGGCAAGGGAGAGAACAAAGGCACCGAGATGAAAATTGGTACCTGTCTGGTACCTGTCTGGGTGGGGGGCAGTCACGGATGTGACTGGAGCAAGGGACTTCTCTTGGGAGATTATATGTAGTAAAGGGAGGCTGATACTGAACTAGGATCTTGGGTGCTGAAGACGTGGGTTTTATCCTGTCTAGTGGTTCCTAGACACCCACTCAGAAAGCTGACAAAAAAAATATCTGGTTGGGGGTGTGGCTCAGTGGTTTATTTAGAACATGCCTAGCATACATGAGGTCCTTGGCTTTAACCCCCTTGACACAGCAAAATAAAACACACACATACCACACACACACACACACACACACACACACACACACACACACACACACACACACACACGAGTCCCAAATGCTTCCAGAGATCATGATTCAGTAGGTTTCCATGGTGCTTAAGAATCTGTGTATACATGAGGCTGGAGAAATAGCTCAGCAATTAAGAGTACATACTGCTCTTGTAGAGGACCCAAGTTCAAGTCCCAGCACCCATCTTGGGCATCTCACAACTGACTGTAACTCCAGGTCCAGGTGATCTAATGCCTCTGGCTGCCACAGGCACCTGATTCACATGCTTGTACTCACACAGAGACATACACATATAGTTAAAATAAAAAATAAAAAAAAGATCTCTATACTTCCTCTCTCTTTTACAAAAATTCCCTAGATGCTGGGCAGTCAAATTGGAGCTCTCGATTATCACTGGTATGATAGACCCCCCGTACCTCATAGAGGGATGGATTTGAGCAAATGGATGGGAAAGTCACATGTCAGTCTCTCATTGGTGGACATGTAGTTGTCACAGAGTGGGACAGATTGTGTGGGATCAGTAGATAAGTTCCCCATGGTCCTGGAACAGTAATCTTGAAGACTCTCTAGTCTCTCATGACAAAGGGTTCCAGGAAGCAGAGAGTAGACTGGGCCTGAATACCTGTGTGAACCTAAACTTGACTCTAGGGTAATAGCAGGTCTTGAAATCTTCCCTCAGGGAATCACAGCAGGCTTCTTTCTTCATGTTGTGATGGTCTAAGAACTAAAACCAGAGAATGGAGTGAGTGGCTTGAGGTCACAAGCTGTTTGGGAACCGATCTAGGCCTCTAGGCTCTTTTGTTACCATATAGTTCAAGTTAAAGTACCTATCTGTTCTTTCCTTCCTGACCATACTCTGATTCCAGCGGGGCCAAAATTTAGGACATTTTCCCAGTTGCCCAAATTGTTTCCCTGGAGTCTCTGTCATCCCTAGAGAAAAACCAAATCCAGAAGTTTCCATCCCCAGGTCGACCTTAACAAAACTGTGACATTAACTGTAGTTTCTCACCCTGCAGGAGAGAAAGAGATGGCTGCTGAGTTGGAGGAGCTATACGGTGACATCGATGCTTTAGAGTTCTATCCAGGGCTGCTGCTGGAAAAGTGCCAGCCCAACTCCATTTTTGGGGAGAGTATGATAGAGATTGGGGCCCCCTTTTCCCTCAAGGGTCTCCTAGGAAATCCCATTTGTTCTCCAGAATATTGGAAGCCCAGCACATTTGGTGGTGATGTGGGTTTCAACCTTGTCAACACAGCAACACTGAAGAAACTGATCTGCCTCAACACAAAGACTTGCCCGTATGTTTCCTTCCGTGTGCCAGACTCACCAGGAGATGATGGGCCTGCTGTGGAGAGACCATCCTCCGAGCTCTGAGGGGGTGGGGATCAGCCTCCTGGAGGAAGGAGCTTTGTGTTTGCCCTTCTAGGATGCTCTGAGGTTGAGGTAGACAATCTTCAATGTTTGTCTCCTGGTTTGGCATTGTGAGAGTTGACACTGACAGAACTTTGGATCTCGCCCCTGTCTAGAATATTATAATTTTGCCGTTCTAGGATGCTGAATTCTTTGTTAACCCTTAAAAATGTTAGGAGTGTTTTTTATCTGGCTTCCCAGAACTTGGTTCCTTGTTAGCAACCCAGAAGGTCAAATTTCTGGTTAATTTGGAATGTAGACTTAAAACTTTATATTATAAGGCATGGTATGGTCCCACACACCTTAATCCCAGCACTTGGGAGGCAGAGACAGTTGAAACACTGTGAGTTGGAGGCCAGCCTGGTTTACATAGTTCAAGGCCAGCCATGGTTACAAAGTGAGACCCTGTCTTTAAACAAACAAACAAACAAATTTAGCATGTATAACTCCTAAAAAATTCCTCGAACGTCAAAAGGGGTTATTAATTTTCTTCCTTGAATCTGGGGCCCCTCCAGAATGTTGACTATCTGATTGGTAACTCAGAATGTTCCTGGTCAATGATACATAACATGGGCCAGACCAGTCCAGACCTGAATGTCTAGAATGTAGAATTGGTTAATTTTCCTGTTCAGTGAAATGGACACAGAACAAAAGAACCCAATGTCTAACAAGGACTATTTTGCCCACATTTGTTTCTACCCTGAAGGGCAAGGATGTAAGATGTTGCTTTTGGGAGCCACAATTAGACCCTTTCAAAAGGTGTGGAGGGAACAGTGGGAATCCACTACAGCTCTGTTGTCATCCAGGTCTTTGCTCATGGCAGCTGTTTCTCATGAAGCTAATAAAATTATCTTTCCAAAAAAAATTCCTGTTGTCCATCTCTTTAAATATCATCTGCAAGTGAATGCTGATGAAGTTTTCCTCCTACCCACAGTCAGAGGTGTGGCATGAGACCTTCCAAGGGCATCCCTGGAACCTGTCCTGCCATACATGCCTTCCCCTTGATGCTCCATCTCTCCCTTTGGGCCATGATCTGCCTTTGTCAGTGAGTCTGTTCACCTAGAACACCTAATTCCCAATCCCTGGAGATGTAGCATCCAGTCCCGCTAGCTGATTAAAATGACATCCTCTTATGGAGGAGACAGGCAAGACCAGGGACTGAGAAGAGGAGCAGACTTCTCTGTGCCAACTTTTCACACCCAATTTTCGTTTACTGTCATCAGGACAGTGTGAAGGGGATGGTATAACCCTCAATAGGACTGCAGAGTGGCCGAGTGACATGCCAGTCCCACAGTACCCAGGGCCAGGCTTGGAAGCCAGCTCCCTTCCCTCCTGTTTTGCTCTGTGCCATCACTGACACTGACGTTGCCTCTGGCCTGAGGACAACATGAGAGGCTGGGGATTGGGGGAGGGTAGCTTCCACTTTATGTGCTTGTTGCTTGTTCAAGACCAGTGCTTATTTCTCTAATGCTGGCTGTGCACTGGGCACTTTGATGGGGACACAGCTGAGAGTGGACAGTACTGATGAGGCTTCTGTTCTTCAGAGCTCACATTTCAACAGGAGGGAACAGTATTTCTTTCTAGTCCTGACCTGGTTCTATGGCCAAGGAGGGAGGCAAGGATGGACAGTGAAGGTGAGAGATTGGGAAAGCTTGTGTGCATTGTTTTTTGCACACCCGGAATTGTGGCCATGAAATGGGAGGGATTGGGTTTTGGCTGGCGGTCTTCAGGGCTAGGTCTCCTAGTTCAGAAAGCCTGTTCCTAGTTGTCTAGTTAGGGACCAACTCTCACCATTTCTCCTGGATCCTGCTGGACACAAAGCATGTGACCCTGGTACCCTACTTCCTAACTCTTTCTAACACATAAGGATCCTTTGGGTGCCAAACACGACCAGCGAGCACTTGTGTCTTCTTGCTTCCCCAGTCCCTGTTTTCCTCTTTCAATACCTTTCTTATTAATGTCAGTCTTTTGAAAACTTAGTTAAAATATAATTATCTGATTTTCCTCTCCATCATCTCTTCTTTCCAACCCCTCCCATGTCACATATGCCCACTCCTCCTCAAATTCATGGCCTTTTTCTCTTTAACTATTGTTGTTAAGCGCGTGCGTGTATATGTGTGTGTGTGTGTGTGCACGCATACATATGGATAAATATATAGATAAAACATGCTGAGTTAATTTAGTGTTTTTATATGTTTATGCATACATATACACATTCTTGCACATACCCACACACATACATACACACATGCTTTCAGGGCTTACCATTTGATGTTGGATAGCCATTTCGAGGGCTCATCCCTGGGGAAGACTAATTCTTCTTCTTTCAGCTGTCGTTAAATTGCCTGTAGTTCTTTATCTTGGACCTGTGAAATTTCCTCCATCCACATTGGCATGTCACTTCTGTCTCTTTCTTATTAACAGCCCTCCCTGCCCCAAGGCCTCACTTTGTAGCCCCGGATGGCCTGGAACTAGCTATGTAGATTAGACTGGCTTCAAACTCATAGAGCTCTGCTTGCTTCTGCCTCACAAGTGTGATAATACCTGCCTTTATATCAGTTTTAACAATTATACCAGGAGTGTGTTCTGGCCAAATGCAGGTATATGGGCCTGTGCCAGGTAGCCAGACACCCTAACCTTACTGTTGGCCGTGGGAGTGTGTCCCATGCAGATTGAAAATGGTGACTGACTCATCCCTGAAGCCAAAGCCGAGTTCCCAGGGAATTGTTGGCCCCTGTTTTGATGATATGGGGGCAGCTGAGTTTCCTGATCTTCTCAAGACTTCAGCTTTTAAGCCGAGTGTGGAGGCACAACCTTTAATCCCAGCACTTGAGAGGCAAAGGCAGGCAGATCTGTTGAGTTCAGGGCCAGCCTGGTCTACAGAGTGAGTTCCTGGCCAGCCTGGTCTACAGAGTGAGTTCCCGGACAGCCAGGGCCATGTATAGAGACTTTGTCTCAAAAAACACTTCAGTGTTTTCTTCCACATGATCGTTTGTTTCGGGAGTTTATCTTTTGCTTGTATTGACGTTGCTGTCTGTTGCTTTCAACCAAACTGTGATGGCTATGAGGTGTAGGAGAGCCAACCCCTGTCTGTAATGGGGAGATCACTGCTTTGGAAATAGCCTCTGGTGGGTTGGGCAGAAGAGTGGATCAGGACTTGGTGGCTGCATTCCAACAAAGAGACAGTGGCAGCCAGGTTAGGTGGGGTGGGGTGGGCTGCAGGGGGATTGCACTCTTGAGTGCAGCTGCCTTGACTTGCTTAGTAGTCAACTCTGCATACATTTGAAACAACAGTTTACATTTATTAATTGTGTGCACAACACTTGTGCTTCCACAATTGGCAGTCAATTAATTATCTCCTCTCATCAGGTCAGTTCACCAGGCGTCTTATTCAAGTGGCTGGGCTTGGGGCCCGAGCCAGCTCTCTGGCCTGGGTAAAAGTTTTCTCAAACTAAACATGTTGGTTTAAACAAGAAATCTAGCCAACGTGAAAGTTGGAATGCTGGCACTGGTGGGGTTTTGAGTTGGTGGGTGGCTGGCCTGTGAAGATAGTGAATAGACACAGCTTGTATCTAGAACCAGCTGATTTTAATGAGGATTACTCTTGGTGATGGAGGGGGGCCTGTTCTAGTCAGTTGTAAGGTGTTGAGGACAAAAATCTAAACTCTAAAAAACAAAATCTGATGCTTGCTTCATGGCTTGCAAGCACTATCTTGTGAGTTTTTCTCCTGCATCTAGATTTCAAGTTAGCTAATGCCATAAAGATTTTCCCTGTGTATGTATTATACACCCATTTGTACCTGCTTGGGTTTGCGTCCCTGGAGGAATGCCATTATACTGTCAATTCACTCAGGATTGTCAGTGCAAACAACAGAAGCCATGCTAGCCATTCAGAAAAAGGAAAATGTTTGCATAGCTCACACAGACATTGACAGGACCAGGCTTGGGAGCTTCTTGCCTAAGAACAGTGGTCACTGGCCTGGAGGATGCAGGCATCTTAGATTGCATCCATGTTGCCAAGACTTTGCTGCTGGGGTCCTGAGACCTGGTTGTTACTATTACTAGCCTTTAAAAATGGATTCTATGTGGTACCTATATCTCACTTCCTCTATTATGGTCATGTTTATTTCATATTTGATTGCTGAGGACTAGCTTATATGTCTCTACTCCAATTCTAGGAGAGGGTATGGAAGTAGGTCTTGGAGAGCAGGGACTTATCATTTGGAAGTTGCCTGTAATGAAAAAAGTACCCAAAGGGCTGGAAGGATGCCAGCTTTTATTTTCTCTCTATTTCCAGCCTCTGACCACTACAGAGGCCATAGGAGGGTACCATACCTGACTAGTGACAGCACAGCAGAGCTGAGAGCACAAAACAGAAGGCTGTGAATTGCTTATAGCTTCTCTTCTAAGCAAGCTCTTGGAAAGCGTCAATGTATTAGAGGTGTTCACCTTCCTACTCAATCCATCTTCTGATGAAATGAAATTCAACTAAAACCGCTGTGTGGGAGACAGTAAGGAAAACTAGAACTTGGGATAGGAAGATGGCTTAGTGGGTAAAATGCCTGCTGTGCAAGTCTAATGGTCTGAGTTCAGTTGTTCAGAGTCCATGTAAACTCTGTAAACATGTAAACAGAGTGGTACATGTGTGTAAAGCCAGGACTCCTGGAAGGGGAAATGAGAGACTCGCTCACAACCCCAGAAGCTCAAGGGTAGGTTAACTTGGAGTAATTTGTGTAGCAGTGGCTAACAAGAGAGACCTTGCCTCAAAATCAAGGTGATGGCTGAGGACTGACCCCTGTAGCTGTCCTCTAATCTCCACACACACACTGTGGTATGTGAGGGCTCTCACACAATCACACATACAATAAATCTATATATTTAAACATTATTGCATGTGTGCATGCTAAGGTCATGTGGAGGTCAGAGGACAATTTTTAACAGTTTTCTTCTTCCATCATGGGACTTGGGGATGGGACACATGTCACCATGTGTTCTCAGTAAGCCTGTACATACTTGGCCATCTCACCAGCCATAAGTAATTAATAATAATAATAATAATAATAATAGAAAACATAAAGGTGCTTTCAGTTTTGGGAGTGTAAGGAGGTATTTCTTTTCCACCCTCTCACTACCCACTCTTCTGGTTTTATTCAAAGTTGATTCCATCCCCGGTCTTGGGTAAACATTTCTTTGGCTCTCAGTCTTTATGCTTTTGGTTAAACATATATGAGAGTCATTTGCACAACTGAAGGTTTGGTATTTTGGGTTTGGGGGCAACCTGGTCATATGACTTTACAGACTTCATGGCAGGTCCCCAACTTCCTACCCCTGGCCATTGTAGTATACTCACTGTACACCAAACATACACATGCACCTCGAAGAGTTTTTACACCCGTGGACACCAAGGACATCAAGATGTAGTACATTTTCAGCATCCCAGAAGTCTCTTTTGTGCTCCTCTGTCCTCAAGAGCACCACAGCTATCTGCTGTTGTGACTCCTATCACCAGATTAGTTTTCGACTCCTTATAAACCTCATTTGAATATTGTCACAAGGTGTGCTCTTTTTGCATGTGTCTGGCTCCTTTTTTCTTTTTTTATCATGGGTATCTGTTTGACTGTGTAAATATTTAATGTGTGTGTATGCAATCACCTGTTCATGGCCATTTATGCTGTTTGCATCCCAGGACTGTTATGAATAAAACCATAAATTTTAAATGTTATCTTTTACACTCATCATGTAAGGTGGATTCTTCCTTTATTCAATACCCACTCTCATGTCTCTCTTGCTCTGGGCGCTAGAGGAGAGAGCAATTGGATCCCCTGGAGGGGAAGCAGACTATGTTTATCCCGAGTCTGCTCTGTG